TGGTACCTTTTTCATAGGCTTTTTTGAGTTTGGGCAAGGACACAGGGGCCCCATGATCCCCTATTGCCCGGGGGCCCCATGAGTTGTCAGTTCACCCCTGGTCCTAACTCTACAAATTTGAGAGCCCCCATAGTAGAGGCACATGCATTTAAAGGATAGATCAAGGGCAGGTGAACATCAGGGAGCCCACCCCTCTTAAAGGTACAGGAGTGCAAAGGACACCCAGCATGTAGCACAATGGCAGCCATGGTGCCCAGTGCACCCCCTCACCTTAATGTCAACAGTAAAGTAAAACATGGCACCCGCCCCGGTCTATAACTGGCTTATGAAGCAAGGACTACGTGAACCGGGCAACGCATGTCAATAAAAAAAGGAAAATAAAAAAAAAAGGGTTCAAAAATCAACTCGCCAGCCAGCATGCCAACAACATCTCAATCTCATCTCAACACATACTGCTCTCTCTGCTTCTGCTCTCTCTATTCCTCTCAAAATGTCTGAAATAGTTCTTTTTTTTACTATTTTTCAGTGCATTCTGGGCATTTGGGAAGGTCTCCTGAGGTTATCTTTTAAAAACGCTTCTAAAACGCTCATAAACGCGGCTAAACTGACGTTTTTTTTTAACCTATGTTTTCCAGCAGTCAGTTTCCATCGTTCAGAAGAGCTTCCCCGTGTACATGAGCCCTTAACCTCCTTAGCGGTATTCCCAAGTGTAGCTCGGGGGAAAATTTGAGTACCAAGAGCGGTAACCCCGAGCTACACTCGGGCTTACCATGCGGCGTTGCTCTGGGGGTCCCTGCAGCACTTACCTTGTCCTTCGCTCCCACGATGTCCCCCCTGCAGCGTCCCCGGCCATCTCCTCCGGCCGATACCGGCATCCGGCTTCTGTGTTCCGGCCCTGTGACGTCGGGACGTACGGGCGGCAAATTTAAAATTTTTTTAAAAATGTCATTTTTTTTAAAATGATTATTACATAGTAAAACATTGCTGTTTCAATGCATTTCACATACATTTTGTCCCGAGTGCTTTGTCCGGCGCCCTGCCTGCATTTTTACTGTTCTTTCTGCCTGGAAACTGAGAAACGTCCATGGCGTCCAAAAAGCGTCCCTTTAGGTCAAAAGCGGTTTTAGACCGGCTAGAGAACAGCGATAGTAAATTAGAACCACTTGCAGAATTGAGTGATAATGATTCGTGGGGGAAATTCCTCATCAGACACTGAGAACAATTTTTGCGACTTTGCTCAGCGATGTGCGAATTTGCCTCTGTATTTCAAATTTCAGTGTTTTTGGTTTGATTATATTATTGAATTAAATTTATTATTATTATATTATTATTTTTTATGATTATTTATTAAATTATAATTTATGATTTCATGTTTCAAGTTTTATCATATCCGGGATCATTACTAGACTCTTGTTCGGACAGATTTCAGTGAGTTATTCCTAAAAATTACAGCCTACAATAAAAAACTACATATTTCCATGCGAAAAAATGGTACCCCGCTTTCAGCACAAAAAATCGGAAATAATCAGACCGCCGAGGAGGTTAATGTTTGCCTCCTTTTTTTTTCTTTGAAGGTTGTAGGTGGCATTTTCGCATTGCCATTGTCTAAAAACATAGAAAATGATGTTCAATAATTGTAAAACATTTATCAATATACTGAAACCATAAATAACAGGGAAACAGTATATTTCTTACAGGACGCATGACCCTGACCCTTGCGCATTTATAAAAAAAAAAAAGTGGCTTGCACTTGCCTGACGATTGCGCATAATTGCGCGGACATGAAGTCGCACGATCCCGTGACTGTTTAATAACAATTGCCTGCCTGCGTACAACCTAAATGTTGCCCTTTTACATTTTGAAAGGACTCTGTTTATCTCTATGCCGGCATTGTTTGTTTCCTCTTCTCTCATTACTCGGATCCTCAATTATCCGCTGATTTAGCCGATGATGTCACCGTGAATAATAAAGCAGCAGTTTAACCGTCCGTTTTACTGATCGCTAACTGCCGCGCGATAAAATGGACTTTTACATGAAAGTTTAAGCCGCAGAACCCCCAATCATAAATTACTCCCGGACACACACAGAATCCACGCCGCTCTCGCTGCTATTATGTGAAAGTAAATGTTTCCGTAATCCTAATAGATGTGACCCCCCCCCCCACCGCTATCAGCAAATGTAGGATCTCCGGACCCTTCTTACAGTCTGTGCTCAGTGTAACTGGAGGAATAAACCCCAGAAGAGACCGGGACTTTGATATCTGCTTGTTGAATAAAACACAGAAAACGTTATTCAATGAGCTCACTGGCTCTGGTAAGGCTGCTCTGGTGGGCTTTCTCATACCCTTCTGCCTGCATGCCTGAGCTGAGGGCAGATGGATTCAAGAAAGTAAATGCTACATGAACCATCTGCCTTGTTTTGTTCTTTTCTGCTTGTGTGTGACGGGAGTCACTTTGGGTGGAGGGGGCCATGGAACCCAGCTCACTTTGGAGAGGTAGGGAGACCCCTGTCTCAGCTTCCCATATCCCTATTATGTGTAAGTCACCCTGTGCCTGTTAGGGGTACAGGGTGATCTGTCCTAATAATGTGTGGGCTTTGTCTCAGACTGTGTAGACATGATTAGGAGAGGTGGGGGTTGAGGATTGCTTAATATTATGTATATTAGCTTAATGGGGGGGGGTGTCTCCAGCAGTCCTCCCTTCTGATGGGACTGCCTGCTGGTGTGAAGTTTGAATATCTGTGGGCAGGGGTGGACTGACAACTCAGGGGGTCTCCGGGCAATAGGGGATCATGGGGCCCCTGTGTCCTTGCCCACACCCAAAGCACACACCCCAAAAAAGCCTATAAAAAAGGTACCAGGGGCATTTCATAGGGCCCCCTACTGACCCCGGGCCCTCGGGCAATGCCCGAGTGCTCAAATGGTCAGTCCACCCCTGTCTGTGGGTCTCTTGTTACTAAATGTAGATTGCCCCGCCCTGTACCATTATGCAGGGGGGATTGTTCTCTGAGTGTATATATCTTGTATCTGTGTTCAAATAAACTAGTCTACCTTCTGGATTACTTGAAGACTGGTGTCGTCTAGTCTTGTATGGTCGGCTGTGGTGTCTGTTGTCGGTGTTCGGATGGGGAAGCGGTAGTCTAACAGAAGTACTCAAGATGGCCACAGCTAGAAATGCTAGGGGGGTGTTTTTTTCAGAGGGATCCTCAACAATATAAAGCATAGAGACATGGATGGATGGGGGAGGTTTCTTAGAAAATTAAAAATGAATTAGCGTTTTGGGTTTGTGATGCTCAGATACAAAGTTACATAGTTAGTCTGGCTGAAAAAAAGAAAAAAAATGTCCATCCAGTTCAACAAAAAAAAAAATTATAATCCTATATCAGTGATGGTGAACCTTTTGGAGCCTGAGTTCCCAAACTGCAACCCAAAACCCACTTATTTATCGCAGAGTGCCAACACTGCAATTACACTTGAATACTGAGAAAAACACAATAACAGCTTCCACTGACCACCAGCACAAACGGGCAAAGTTCCACTGACCACCAGCACAAAGGGGAAAAGTTCCACCGACCACCAGCACAAACGGGGGCAAAGTTCCAATGACCACCAGCACAAGGGGGCAAAGTTCCAATGACCACCAGCACAAGGGGGCAAAGTTTCACTGATCACCAGCACAAGGGGCAAAAGTTCCACTGACCACCAGCCTAAGGGGCAAAGTTTTCACCAACCTCCAGCGCAAGGGGGCAAAGATCCATTGACCACCAGCACAAGGGGGCAAAGTTCCACTGACCACCAGCAAAATGGGGCAAAATTCCACCGACTACACCAGCACAATAGGGAGCAAAGTTCCACCGACCACCAGCACAAGGGGTCAAAGTTCCACCGACCTCCAGCACAAGGGGTCAAAGTTCCACCGACCTCCAGCACAAGGAGGCAAAGTTCCACCGACCTCCAGTACAAGGGGGCAAAGTTCCACCAACCACCAGCACAAGGGGGCAAAGTTCCACTGACCACCAGCACAAGGGGGCAAAGTTCCACTGGCCACCAGCACAAGGGGCCAAAGTTCCAATGACCACCAGCACAAGGGGGCAAAGTTCCACCGACCACTAGCACAAGGGGGCAAAGTTCCACCCACCACCAACAGAAGGGGGCAAAGTTCCACCGACCACCAGCACAAGGGGGCAAAGTTCCACCGTCCAAAGCACAAGCGCACTGCCACGCCCCGCCACGCGTAAACTCAGATGAGTCGTGGCTCGTGACATCATTGCCTGGGGCAGCTATTCCCTCCGAGCATGTGCATGGTCCCTATGTGCGCTGTTAACTGATGCTCAGCTGCTGGGCGGCTTGGCTCGTGTGCCGACAGAGATTGCTCTGCGTGCCCTCTGTGGCACGCGTGTCATGGGTTCACCACCACTGGCCTACACCCACAGTTGATCCAGAGGAAGGCAAAATAGCCCAGCAAAGGATGATCCAATGTGCTCCTGCAGGGAAAAAAATTCCTTCCTGATCCCCCGAGAGGCAATCGGATATTCTCTGGATCAACTTTCCCTATAAATGTTAGTATCCAGCTTACGGTTAGGTTCTGCTTTCATTAGTACCCACATGTAAGAAAAATATATTTTGAATATATTTAAAAAATATTCTTCTCAAATACATTGATCTATATTTGAAATACTAGAATTTTGGCCGTATTCAATATATTTCAAAAACATATTTCAAAATATATAAAGTGTATGTTGAGATGCATTTTTTATATATTAAAAAATATATGAAGAATATTTTTAAAAATACATTTTCAAATCTTTGAAAATACATTTAATCTAAATTTTTGGAAAGAATTTACAAGCAGTTAAAGTGACTTTTTTATATGTTACAAAAAAAAAAGCTGAAGAAAACATTTTTTAAAAAATTATATTTTTAAATATATGCCTTTAGAAAATATAGTTGAATTTAAATTTTTTTTTATAATACATTTTAAAATATATTAGCGTAGGCCAGGGCTTGAAATGTCCACTCGCCTGCTCGCCAATGGCGAGTGGAAATTATGGTGGGGGTGAGTGTCCCCCCCTGGGCCATCTTGCTGAGCAGGCTTGGAGCTCAGGTCGGATCTGTCATTGGCACTGGGAGCTGTCAGACTGCTCAATAGCTGAGTGCAGTGAAAGCAAAGGAAGGAGTGCGTGCTGTGCTCTCTGTCTCCCCCTAGAGTGAAGTACCCGGCTCTGTGAAGTGAACAACAAAGTACTGCAACTTTTTATGTGTGTGTACGTGTGTGTATCTGTACATGTGTCTGCGTGTATGTACATGTATGTGTGTGTGTACATGTGTCTGTGTGTTTGTGTGTATGTACGTACATGTGTCTGTGTGTACATGTGTCTGTGTATGTATGTACATGTGTCTGTGTGTATGTACATGTGTCTGTGCGTGTGTATTTCTGTGTATGTACATGTATCTGTGTGTATGCGTGTCTGGACGTGCCTGTGTGTGTATACATATGTCTGTGTGTGTGTTTTACATGTTTCTGTATGTGTGTGTGTATGTACATGTTTCTATGTGTGTATGTGTACATGTGTCTCTGTGCCTGTGTGTACATGTTTCTGTATGTGTATGTACATGTTTCTGTGTGTGTATGTGTGTGTGTGTGTACATGTTTCTGTGTGTGTATGTACATGTCTGTGTGTGTACAGGTGTCTCTGTGTGTTTGTTGGTGGTGAGTAACTCTTAAGGCCTGGCTAGTAGCTCAGGACTTGAAATGTTAACTCCGTAGGCCAATATATTGTAAATATATGTCACATATGTAATTTTTTTTCTAAATATATTGTACATATATTTCTCTTCCATGTGGTAATAGCGCCGATTCCTCGGCAGGAGACGGCACGATGCAGCCGATACGGGGGACTGTGAGCGTACCTTTGTTTTGACATGCTCAGGGAATGGAAAGGTTCCCTTTAATAATCCCCTGTGAGGGCAGAGCATGGCGGGAGAGCGCCAGGCTAAGTTATGGGTGTATTTTCTCTTCTTGTTCCAGGTATAAAGAAGGAGAATCGATTAGCGGCTTATTTACTGTTACCCGGCCCGGAAACCACTACACTGTACAAACACACTTTCCCTTCCTTGGTATCTGTTGATCAAAGCCGAGCCGTATGTCACCCCGAAACACAGAGATTGCCGCTCCGGACTCCGAAGAGCAGAAAGATGGAAAGATATTCTAAAGGATCAGCCAGTCCATGTGCATGTATAGTGAACCTGTCGCAGGGTGCTGGTGGAGCCCAACTGTTCTGGTCCAATCAGGGGCAAACTGACAACTCATGGGGCCCCCAGGCAATATGGGATCATAGGGCCCCTGAGTCCTCACCCACACTCAAACTACACCCAAAAAAGCCTATGAAAGGTACTGGGGGCATCTCATGGGGCCCCTTACTGACCCTGGGCCCTCGGTCAGTGCCGAAGTGCCCAAATGGTCAGTCCGCCCCTGGGTCCAACACACCCTCTGCTGAGTCAGAGCTAGAGTCCTCCAATCAGCAGGGAGCATGAGCTATAAGGCTTCATGTACACGAGCCTACCCTGACCGCCGGCCATGGGAAATGCAAATCGTGGCAAAAACACAGTGCTGCAATTTTGCGTTTTACCGCGTTCGGCAGTCAAAACCTTCCTATCTTGAACACGATTCTTCCGCGTTCGGGAGAGGGAGGTTTAGCCTCACCTAGGCTTTTATGGAGTTGAGTTTAGGAGCTTTGGCAAAAAATAGCCAAAAGCTCCTAAATTCGAGGTTAGGCGCATACAGATGTGCGCGCAGATCTAAACTCGAGGTTAGGTGCTGCTCGTGTACGTGAAGCCTTAGTCCTCATGCACACGGGACGTTTTTACAGCGGCTGTTTTTGGCTTTTGGCATTTTTTTACAGCCAGTAAACCCCCCAGCGTGTTAGTCCTATGTGTCCATCCCGGCATGTTATCCTATGTGTCCATCCCCGGCATGTTATCCTATGTGTCCATCCCCGGCATGTTATCCTTTGTGTCCATCCCCGGCATGTTATCCTATGTGTCCATCCCAGCCATGTTATCCTATGTGTCCCCCCGGCATGTTATCCTATGTGTCCATCCCCGGCATGCTATCCTTTGTGTCCATCCCCGGCATGTTATCCTATGTGTCCATCCCCGGCATGTTATCCTATGTGTCCATCCCCGGCATGTTATCCTATGTGTGTCCATCCCCGGCGTGTTATCCTATGTGTGTCCATCCCCGGCGTGTTATCCTATGTGTGTCCATCCCCGGCATGTTATCCTATGTGTGTCCATCCCCGGCATGTTATCCTATGTGTGTCCATCCCCGGCATGTTATCCTGTGTGTCCATCCCCAGCATGTTATCCTACGTGTCCATCCCCGGCATGTTTATCCTATGTGTGTCCATCCCCGGCGTGTTATCCTATGTGTCCATCCCCGGCATGTTATCCTATGTGTCCATCCCCGGCATGTTATCCTTTGTGTCCATCCCCGGCATGTTATCCTATGTGTCCATCCCCGGCATGTTATCCTATGTGTCTATCCCCGGGATGTTATCCTATGTGTGTCCATCCCCGGCATGTTATCCTATGTGTGTCCATCCCCAGCGTGTTATCCTATGTGTCCATCCCCGGCATGTTATCCTACGTGTCCATCCCCGGCATGTTATCCTACGTGTCCATCCCCGGCATGTTATCCTATGTGTCCATCCCCGGCATGTTCTCCTGTGTGTCCATCCCCGGCATGTTATCCTATGTGTCCATCCCCGGCATGTTATCCCATGTGTCCATCCCCAGCACGTTCTCCATCTTCAGTGTGGGCACCCACACTGCACATGTGCGAAAAGTGCTGCGCTTTCTGAATGGCCCCGTCATCTTCTGGGAGCTGTCACGTGTCCCACAAGGCTTTGGGGAGGGAGGGCAGGAGGACAACTTTCGTTTCCAATCGCCTAGGTGATCGCAGCGGAAGTGGGATCGGTATCTGTTAAATTTGGGTACCCGCTCCCCAAAGGTGCCAATCCTTAATAGGAAGCGGGGGACCAATGTTTAAAGCGGAACTTCCCCTTTTGGGTGGAACTCCGCTGTAAAGAGATCTCCTCTTGCCCTGCCTTCCCCCTCCCTCTTTTCCAATTGGATAAAGTTCTTTAGGGTTGTTATAATTTATTTTATACTCCGGAACAAGGGGTGGGTGGAAGGGGTGGCTACACTGGGCATTGTGGTATCATGTGAGGTGGGGGGCACCACAAGGAGATTGGGGGAGGGGATAAGATTTGTTCTAGGAGAGGAAATTTGTGGAGGTTGGGTAAAAGTGGTGATTTTGGGGGATTTGTGGGGGATGGGGGGGAAGAGAATTCGTGCTAGCAGTGGGGATTTGGGTTTATGTTAGAAAAGGTGGCATGGTAGAAGGGGGAGGGGATATGTGCTAGGATGGGAAATTTTTTTGGAGGGGTTGTGCTAGTAGGGATGATTGGGGGTATTTGTGCTGGGAGGGAAAGTTGGTTGGGGGATTTGTCCTGGGGGGGGGTGGATATGCAACTGGAGGAGGGGGAATTTAGGTAGTAAGTATGCAGATTAGTGCTCGATTTTTTTATTGGCCAATCAGTGATCACATGAATAGGAGTAAGCAAGATGTCACTTCCTGCCATCATTGCTTACTACTGTGAAGGATCACAGAGGTCACATGGTACAAGGCTATTCACAACATCCTTGTACCATGTGTGACAAGCTGTGACCAATCACAGCTCACTCAGTAGTTCTCAATAGCTGCAAGAATGCAGACAGAGAGAAGGAGAATTGATTGTTATGACAGCCTTTATGGGTGTAAAAGCAATCAGTGTAAAAAAAAAAAAAAATCTTCATCACCCCCCACAAGTAGTACAGTGTCACTGTACTGCTAGGGTGACAGTATGTAAAAAAAACATAAATAATAATATAAAAAAATAAAATAAAAATGTAAAACAATAAAAAAAAAATTATAATTTTTGGTTATAAACTAATTTGGGTTAATTTTTTTACTAAAAACTGAATACATTTTGTCCAAGATTTATGAAGAAAGATTATTTATTTGCTAAATTTTATTAGAAAAACAACTTTTTAAAAAATGTTTTTGGACTTTTTCATTTATATAGCAAAAAAAAAAAATCCCAGTGGTGAATAAATACCCCCAAAATAAAGTTTTACCTGTCTAAAAAAAAATGCAAAAAAATTAATATGGGTACAGTGTTGCATGACCGCGCAATTGTCGTTCAAAGTGTGACAGCTGAAAATTGGCCTGGACAGGAAGGGGGTAAAAGTGTCCGGACGTGAAGTGGTTAATGTGTATTTTTTTTTTTATCTGCCTGGAGCTCAGCAGGGTTTGCTGGGACTTGCAGTCCCTCCCCAGCCGCAGACTCCTAGGTTGCTCAACCTGTTCTAAACATCTCTGTACTTATTGTTTTTTTTTTTGTTTGTTTTTTTTTTGATTTCTCGCCACCGCAGTTAATTTTTCTTCAGCCAGCGTTCGGTGTTTCTTTCAATCAGTGTTTTCTAATAACAGATCATTCCTTTGTGTCTAACTTTAATCTGGTCGGGGCTGACAAGCCTCATCCTTTTCAGTGAAGGGTAAGACCACTTAAAGAAAGGCCAATAAGGCAGTGCAGGGCTCAGCTGACGCGGGTGATTTGTCACGGCATGCTGCGGTGGGCAAACCAATGGATTCATCTCAAGGTAAATGGAGATGCCGAGGACTGGGACCCGGAGCTGTGATTAAGGCCCCCTTTTTGCGGTCTTGATAGATGTTGCTTGTGTTTATCTATTTGAAATGCCACTAAATCTGCGAATACGGTGGGAGAGGGGAGAGTTTCGAGGCTGGGAACATATTCCTGATTTATGCTACACAAAGAGGAACAATAAAAAGACAACGGCTATTAAGGGGAAGCTATTTTCATGAGAAAGAGTTTGCCTAAAAAAAAGCAGGTAGACCCCACCTTGTGCAGAAAATGGCTGAGCTTTGGTAAAGTGCACCTGTCGTGCGTGGGTACAAGCTGTTCAAAGTTTCCCCTGCAGGAGCAAATTGGATCATGCTTTGCTGGGGGTTTTTTTTTGCCTTCTTCTGGATCAACTGTGGGTGTAGGATTATAACTTTTTTTTTTTACTACTTCCAGTCCGGACACTTTCACCCCCTTCCAGTCCGGACACTTTCACCCGCTTCCGGTCCGGACACTTTCACACTTTCACCCCCTTCCAGTCCGGACACTTTCACCCAGTCCAGGACACTTTCGCCCCCCTTCCAGTCCGGACACTTTCACCCCCCTTCCAGTCCCACTTTCGCCCCCTTCCAGTCCGGACACTTTCGCCCCCTTCCAGTCTGGTCACACTTTCGCCCCCTTCCAGTCCGGTCACTTTCGCCCCCTTCCAGTCCGGACACTTTCGCCCCCTTCCAGTCCGGACAGTTTCTTCCAGTCACACTTTCACCCCCTTCCAGTCCGGTCACTTTCGCCCCCTTCCAGTCCGGTCACTTTCCCCCCTTCCAGTCCGGACACTTTCACCCCCTTCCAGTCCGGTCACTTTCGCCCCCCTTCCAGTCCGGACACTTTCACCCCCTTCCAGTCCGGACACTTTCACCCCCTTCCAGTTCGGACACTTTCGCCCCCTTCCAGTCCGGACACTTTCACCCCCTTCCAGTCCGGTCACTTTCACCCCCCTTCCAGTCCGGACACTTTCCCCCCCCTTCCAG